TCGATAGTGGATGCGAGCGGCCATCAAGCCGGCTGCGAAAGGGTAAGTACGGCGGGTATATGTGGTTCGTTAAAAATTCCGGATCGACAAGCATCGAACGTGGATATCGGCGCGGCCGCACTCGCGGCGCTGAATCGCCCGTCGAACGGGTTCGCAGGGGGAAAAAGGAAGAGGCGAGAAAATAGGAAACGACTAAAACGCGTACGCGATAGCTGGCTCTAGGCTTCGGACAACGACGACGACGACAACGACTTTCGATCGACTTCGCGAATCGTTAATCGATTCTCGCGGCGGTGAGCGTGCGTGCGCGATGTCACGCGGCTTTTACAGCTCTATGCCGAGTCCCATATTTGGAAATAGCGGCGAGTTGTACGCGTACAAAAACTTACGTAATTATAGTTCCCGGAGCGAGCACGACGAGCGAGAATTTATGCGGAAGGATATTTCAAAGAGGCGTTTTAAAATCGACCAGCGGAATGGACAGGTGGGCGTAAGTGAAATCCGCGTTCTCCCGATAAGAACAACCACGAGTTACCTGATCCACTGATTGATCCGAGGAGTGTACTAAGAAAGAAGATAATAATTCGGCCGTCATGGCAGTGGAAATCCATCGCGATAGCCAAAAGTGATAGATAAGATAGCAAAAACTTATGCATTATTTTCAATTCAAAACGTACTTAATACAGATTCAATTCGATTTTTAGCAATCACGAGCTAATTAATCCTTGTTTTAATAGCGTTAAAAACATCTGCGTGGCCTTTGTAATTTATTAATATTCGTAGTTTCATTGGGCCTGTATACACTTATTATTTTCAATTCGCTGAGTTTTCGATTGAGAACGTAAATAACTGTTGGATCTTTATCAAAGCCGGCGTGAAATCATTTTGGAATGCTTCGCACCTGCACGGTATGCTAATAAATCATGCTACCGCTACCATATAAATATCCCGTGTGTATCGATATCTGACAAGTGACTCTTCGCGGATGCCGATCGCACTGGATACAACGCTCGTTTACAAGAGTGACAGAAGCTGGTGAGTATTGCAAAGCTCGCCAATTAAAATCCCTTATCTCTAATTGAAAGCCATGAATCGTGGCCGTGAGATCTACTTAATTCCGATATGTATTAGAAATAAATCAAGCGTGCGATGGGAACGAGTTAAGCCGTCTCGCACGGCACGAAGATCAACGCACTCGAGGCTACGTCGCGATCGAGGAGGTAGGAATTAAATCGAGTCGTTCATAGCTCTTCTCGATCTTCGCTCTTCCGAGCGAGCTAACTTTCCTCGGTCACTGTGAAAAGCTGCTCGATTTGCTCTTGTCGCCGCCGTGCCCCACATCCTACGGTAATGATTCTCTACGCAATCGGCAGCCACTAATCTGCGTTTCAATCGTGTTTCTTTTTGCGCTGTCCGGTGGGCGCGGGGCGGCACCAGCGTGTTATTACCGATGGTAGGAATCTCGCCGAACCGTGAAGCAAGTGGCCGGTGTTCGGGCTTTCCTTCTTTTCCTTCTTCGAATCATGAGCCTTAATTCGATCCGTAATGCAGGTATGGATACAAAGTTGCTCCACGGTCAAATTGTCGCTGGTAATTGCGACGCGAGCTTGTTGGACGCGGAGCCGAAAGAGAACAGAAGGGATTAATAAATCGATACATCGACCGTACGTACGAGCGAGAACTCAATCCCGCGGAGTATCGACGTTCTCATTTATGAGTAAATTATGGTGTACGGCAGATTTAAAAAAGAATCGGATTCGTGCCGCGAATTTGTGTCTCGTTTCGATTCTCAAGGACCGTTCCGGTGATTATTTCCGAATTGACCGGGTCGATTCTTGTCAAGGCGGGGAATTTACAAATGTCTCTCGACAGGTCGAGATTAGAAACGAGTCGTTATCGAATTAAATATGTCCGGGAGTGATTAAACTTCCTGCAAACTTCTTGCGTTACGCTTCGTAACTTCGTTAACTTATTAAGTTCACGAAAGGAATTATAAGGAAACCTCTCTCGCAAACTTTTTTTATTAATCCTTAGACCATAGCGAAGCATCCGATTAAGAAACTTGAAGTCCCGTCGGGTTTCATACAGAAAACCGCTGGGGAAGAGCGACGTGGTGGCGCGTACCGGTCAAAACTACACGCGCGCTCCGCAGCGGCCATCGCGACGACACATCGATCGGTACCACGAGACAATTGATATCCTCCTCCCTTCCTCCACTCGGCCGTGTAAATTGGAAAAACAAAAGGTAATTCACAATCACCGCGATCGAATCGCGTAACATAGTTGTTCACTCGACAAGCACGACAGGCAGGGCGACGCGAGCGATTACGCACGTAAGCTACGTACACGAAGCGATCCATCACGACGAGGACGAAAAACGAAAATTCGTCGTGGACGTGAGCGTATGCGTTTCTCCAGGCTACGGATCTAACGATCGGCGATCGGGAGATCGCGCCGGCGGTAGCGGCGACGCGGAGCAAGCAGCTTGATATTCGTCGAACGCGCGTCGCGGAGCCCGGCCGCGTATGAGCGCGGAATAAATTATCCCGGGTGCGCGTCTCGGTCTTGTCCCTTCTGCGACCTCTCCGCCTCTCTCGACCGTTTCTCCCGTTTCTCTCTATCTCTCCTACTCCTCTTCTTCCTCAACCGTCTCATTCACCCGCTCCGGCAATCACTCCCCGCGTTGTCGTCGTTCATCCCTCTCCGCTCACCGTCACGTTCTCTCGTTCTTTCTCTCTCTCTCTCTCCCACCGCCGCCGGCGTCTATAATGACTCCTCGTGGTGGGACGATACCGGAAGTGAAGTCAGAACTGCGGAACCAGACGTTCACTCAATGGAAAGTTTGAGCTCCTCCGGCGCGGCCGTTCTTAGAGGTGGCTACGCGTCCGCACGTCGCTCACTCTCCACGCACGCGAGGAAAATCCGCTCCGTTCGAACAGCGTGCGCCCGCTCCGGCATTCGCGCGAACGCGAGTCGCACGCGAGGAGCTCGCGTGGAAAGCCCGCCCGTCCATTTCTCGCGCCCGAGGTGAGGATCTACGAAAGTGCGACGCTCCGTGGAAAGTTAATCGAGTGACGAAAGCGCCGGCATTTCGAGAGTGTGTTACAACGCTTAGTTAACAGTTGGATATCTAGTGCGGTGAAAAAAAATGAGGAACGAAGGTAATCGAAGAGAGCTCGAAGCGTGAAACTCGAGGAGCAACGATTGAATTGGAAACGATAGGACGCTGATTTGACTCGACACGTCGCTTCGACCGAAAGAGTTTTGTGAGATTTAATGAATAAAAACTAAAATATTGGACGTGCACGTGTTGGTTGTTTGGAGTAACGAGTAAACATCTGTTGGAATTCGCCAAAGGATTTATTTTTATGCGAACTTATCGACTTTTCGTCTGCTTCGTGCGAAAGCGGTATTCCGGCCACAAGAATTCGGCGAAGTAGCTTCGACGGCGGAGAAAGTGGCTAACAGATCGATCAAGCGGAAAGAAAATATACAACTGACTTAATGAAGATTACCAAAAAAAAAGCAGAAGAACACAAGAAAACATCCATTTCGGATTGTATTATCGTCACGAATAAAGTACATTTTATTGTGAACCACCGGAAGTCTTGGGGAGCAGCAAATAGGATCGTCGAGTAATCAAGGCAGCGGTTGAATAAATTGGATCGGGGATATTACAAGAACCGCCGAGAGATGCGCAAGGAAACTCGCCATTAAGCCAAGGCGGGGAAGAAGTTTTCTCTCGGCGGAAAGGAGGAGGGGGAGGAGGAAGAGGAGGAGGAAGAAGAAGAAGAAAGGAGACGATAAATTTGCGAAGAGAAACCGCACGTTAACTCTCATTTCGGTGTTGTCGCGTAAAGATCCAGAGGCGCGTATTGCACTCGCGATAAATTATCTGGAGTTTCATCTGAAAAATCGACAAATTATCGGAATTTCATCGGAAAAATGGTCGACGCCGTGTCTACCTTTTCCCCGTTCCTTTTCTAGTCTTTCCGCCGATGTGAATACGCTGAAAATTTCAGATTAGTCAGCGCGAACTTGACTCGGCGAATAAAACGCCAGGAAAGTGGAAAGTTATTTTCCACAGTCGACGTTTCGGACGCGTTTTCCTTCCACGTTTAACCGCGCGAAAAATAGAGGGGCGGTTTTCACTGTACCGAACAATATACATTTTCGCGCGAAAGTGACAAGATCGCGACAGAGTTCCCCGGGAAAAAATATGATGTATGTGGGCGAGACAAAAGAGCCGCGCGAAACGGTCTTGTCTGCGAAACGGAAGTCTACCGCGGGGAATGCTAATTAACCCAATTTCTTTCGAAGTTGCGTTAACGAAACAACATGCGTGTTTGTCAATTCGCTGTATCATCGTCTCGCGATCTGATTTCTGTAATTAGCACGAGAATCACTCTCTCGCGTTGATCATGAAGAAAAGGTGAAAATGCGAGATAAATGTGCACTGATTTGCGAAAAAGTCGATCCGGTTTCCGCGCAAGAAACTCGAAGACTGACCGCAAACAGTGCTTTCATAATCGCAGACGGACTAACGAGATTTGTAATCTCAACCGAGTGTTCCCGGTGTTTAAAGCAGCACCAGCATTAGCAACTGCAACCGTGCCGATCTGTCATCGCTGAAACACGAGTCCTCTTACTCGCGTAAAAGGAACAATTCGTCGCTGATGCGCGACGAAAGGAGTTTTAATCCGAGCAAAAAGCCGGCAGCACTCTTCTTGGGTGGTCTTTGCGGTGCGAATCTCGACCGCGTTTCTCGGCTGCGATACTCTTCGTCGATTCGACAGTCGCTCCGAAACGTGATGGATAGTAGAGCAACGATTATAGTAATAGACGTCAGAGATATGGACGAGGGAAGAGGAGCGCGACGTATCATCTGAAGACGACACGCATGTGCTGGAGAGATCGGAGCTCGTCACTGTCGATAGCTCGTTCGTGGGTTCGTCTCGAGGGCGAGAACAGGGGACCCGAAGTGCATTTATGAAAGCATTCGTCAGAAATGGTCAGCCAACACGCGATGGCCACCACCGTCCGCAAAGTTAAGCAGGAGAATCGTCTCAGACGGCAGAATCAGAACCAAGGTGCATATAGATATACATATATAAGTGGTATATATACGCTAACGGGGTAACTCGCTAATGGACAACTGCGGCTCGAGGCTGATGATCGAGGCACCATCCGCGGAGATCAGTCCGTAACGTAACTTATACATCCTTATCCCGCGGCCACTACGAGACCCTAGTCACGTTTTAGTTGCACGGATATATCTTCTAGCGGGATTAACGTGCGGTCGCCGAGATGTCATGAGAATATAATAATATGACGTTGATAATGCAATACCCACGCGCTCATAAACGGGTGGTATTATGCGTCGTTCCGCTGTAATCGCCTCGAAAATATTATTACGCGACTATAAAGCGAGTAAATTTGAATGAACGGAGCGGGGAAGAAGTTAACGTTGTTTTTCCACACGCGACGATTTAAAAGTCAGCGTGTATGCTTTAAATAATTACGATTGAAAAATTAGAATTTAAAAAATAATAATAATTGAAATAAATGTGCTTCGGATATTGCGGATTCGAGTGTTTTGACATCTCATCGACTGGATATGGGCAGCTCGCGTATTAATGTTAGCGCGCGTGATATTTTATGATTATCTTTAACAGATCGCTTCATCGAGAACGGGTGTTCCTTGCTTATGAGCACGGAGAAAAATCCTTGACGTAGTTTAGTGTATAACAGCTATGCATAATGCATAGCAATTTGCCCGATGTGTCTCTTTCGTTTAAACAAGTTGTTTAACATATTCGTGTCAGACGCGCAGAGCGCTTCGTGATGCGCTGTGTAGCGATGAATACATTAATATTTATTTCACCCCTTTACGCTTCGCCGATTTTATTCCGTCTCGTCGGCGAGAGACACGCGCGGAAAAGACGCGCACGCACGGAAAATTAGCATTAATTATCGTCCTGTGCATAGAAAAGTGCGCCGAGAGGCTAAGCGAAAATTTCAGAAGATTGCGATCACGCGAAAGTCAGTGTCAGGCCGCGCACGCGACACTCACACCGGCGATTTCTCGTTCTCGGCGTGTCTTCCGCGCCGAGGAACGTTCACCCGAAAGTGCCTTTTGAAAGTGAACTTCGCGCGAGAAACGTGAGCGTGATAATGGCAATTCGCGTGTTTTCTCTCTCTTTCTTTCGTAGATGAAGAGGGGCCTTACAAGCCTGTGCCGCCGCCGAAGCCGGTGCCGAACAATCAGAAGAATCAGGACGGTCAGCAAGAGTACGAGCAGCGGGAACAGGCGGTAGCCGAGCGGTCGTCGCGGACGACTTCCGGCTCGGAAAGGAGCAGTGTCGCGGAGAACGGGCAGGTTCGAGGCGCCGGGCAGCCCTTCGCACCGGAATACAGGATGCCACCCTTGTACGGAGAGGAGCAGAGTTCGAGTCAGGCTCAACAGGCAGCCAGTTTGCAGACTCACAGCAGCAAGTTCCCGGTAAGCGCGACGATAATGTATGCGGGCAGGAAAATTACAGCGTTATTACTTTATTAAGCATTTCTTCTATATCCATATTTCTCTCTCTCTCTCTCTCTCCCCCTTCGCGTTGGAATGTTCCGCGCAAAATTTATCGTAAAACGTTAGATGACTTTTTAATATTTGCACTTTCTCTGCTATCGGTAACGATAGAGATAAGTTCCCTGTGTGAGGAAATATATTTTCTTGTGGCGTAAAACGCCGTTTGAATTATGGCCGAATGTATCACCTTGCTTCTTCTCGTACGAGAGAAACCGACGAGCCGTAAAATTGGGAAACGTTGAGACGTAAAGTCTAAGTAATAGAGGTCTTGACACGACTCTTGAAAACTGGTCGTGAATGAATGGAAGCTGTGATTATTTCTTCCGATCTTGCGAGCCGTAAATACGGCAAAGTGTACGTCACGCTAATCGTTTCGTACAAATACAAAAATCGATTTCGCCTGTGCGTATAAAATGCCTAAAGTCTCAGACACACTCTGAATAGCCGGTTCAAATTCCTCGTTCGTGCATAGAAAGTTTTGTGCTCGGCTTTCCGAGCTGACTCGAGCCAGCGCACCTTCACTACAACGAGCAGGTCACTAATTATCCGTCTACGAAGGCGCGCAACACCTTGCTCGGTTCATGACGCTTCATATGTACCAGGAACAATGAGACGAAAAAGGAAAAAAAATAACTACGGCGCGCATAATGCAGACAGTACCGGCTTTAGAATTTTTCACGCCCTGAACGAACACACTTTGATCGCCTGTGATTCTCGTTTTTCGCAAATTCTGGTCGCGTACCCGCAATTCGTAACGGCCTCTTTTCTGTTGTTTCCGTTTTATACAACCCTTTTACATTTTGCTACATTTTTTCAACAATGACAATGGCTAATGTGCCGTCTCGACCATACGGTTGCTTCTTTTATACATAGCGAAAAATATAGTCCTTTCAACGAGCATTGTGCGTCGCTTTGGGGTTTTCGGAAGAAAGCAAATACTATTTTTTTTTACATTTTGCCATTTCTTCACGACTCCGATTAGTTTATATCCATTTTTATATCTATAACGCAAATTTTAAATAGTATCTTATTATAACATATAGTATTTCTCACGGTAATTAGATAACATTGATAAAAAGTAGTATACAACGCTTCTTGAGACGATGCTTCAAATATTCTTCAGTTCTCAGTTTCTCCTTGGGGGGACTTAAATCGTCATGATTTGTACGCGGTTGTACTCGCAGACGAACTAATTAATGAGCCACCGAGCGTATTAATTCCACGTGCGACTAAGATACACGTGTTCACGACAGATGCAGGCGAGGCATTAAATGAATAGGAAACCGCAAAAAACATTCTTTAGTTCCGAAGTTAATTTACTTTGTCATAATAGAGCTATTACTTATAAAATAATGAGAAAACAGCGACAATTTTTGCATTAGTCATTATAAAGCCATTACTTCTGAAATCCGCTAATGAGTTCTCAAAGCTTAAATCGTACACGTTCTGAGGTACCTGGCGTATCCACGCGACGGCGATTCAAACTTTCTTTCTCTCGAAACGTTATTTATAGACACGACCGCGTGTACTCGCGATCGACGCTCGTTAATCGCAGAAATCCGGCTCGCGATTTCCCAGGTTGCGATTTCACGCAATTACTGCGACTCCGCTGCGGCGGCGGCGTCGATGATGCGACGAGTGCACGCGGTGGTCCTCCGAATAAGGAGACTCCACGATGCATACTCGTTGATGCATCTTCTTGCGACGACGAGCTGAAGCCGAGTACAGTGAAAGAAGCTCGAGTAAATTCAAGACGTAACTTTAGCTTTACTCAGTACAAACGGTGGAGCTTCCATAGAATTTTATCGGGTTTCTTAGATACCGCAAGGAAGACCACAGAAAACGCTGACGTGAAATTTTGACTGACAAATGATCGATTTTATATAACTTGTACTAAATAATATTAATAATATTAATAATGTAACTAATAATATTAATAATAACTATCTTCTATAATCGAACAATTTATATGTCATACTCTATCTTAGATGAATAGTGTTCGATTTCTTATCTTCTTTATCTTTGATAATCTTTGATATAGAGTAGATATTAGAGTCAATGGAAAACGATTTTAGTTTTTGAATTTTTTTGGAACAGTTCTAACTATCTGTAAAGATTGATACTCCATGTTGCATGTTGATTTTGCTTGCCATGTTTCATTGCTTGTTAGATAGACGCGTTCTCGAAATATCGCCTCGATCAGCAATTTTATTAGAAGAGAATTTCTAATTTAATATTTGAAGATTGTAAAATGTTTTAGCCGCTAATATCTTCGTTGCTTAGAAGCTGTTTCATATTGGCTCCCCTTGCTCTACCGTCTCACTCATGCTGCCTCCGAATATTACATGACTTTTACTTTTTTCTCGACACTCCCGTCTATTTATTCTTTCTTGAAAATTTCCCATAAAACAAAAATTTACTTATTTTCCTCCTAAATGGAAGAAATTAATCCTCTGATTTAATTAATATCACAATAATACACAAAGTTAAGAAGACAATACTTCTTGAACGTTTATCGAGTAATCTGAATAACGTTTTCATCATTATTTTTACCAATATTATTTGAATATTTATCAAAATCATATTTTATCCATCGATGGTTATCACGACAGGTCGACGGGAGCATAATTCGTTTTTAATTTCTCATTTTCCTCGTATCGTCCATAAAATCCACCTCTTTATTCCGGCGATTTGTTATCTTCTCGGTTTTTGTTAGTCGAGCTTTCGTCAATTGCGGTTAATTAGTGGGGTGCCGCATCGTAATCACGCGAATGAGGCGGCGCATGTTGATCTTCCGCGTTCGGCGTTAGGAATTAGCGCACGGTCCTCGGAGAAATCTTCGATAATAGTTCGTTGTACGGCGGTTACGTTCTTGGGAAGGTTCTCAGAGGTTCTCCACCGAGACAAAGGGGGCATCATACGCGCGTACCGTTCGCCGGAAGTCGGCAAAGGGAAGACGGAGGAGGAGAGAGGGGCTCGCTCGCGATAGCCGTTTAGATACACCGTATTTCTCCGCACGAATCGGCTGCACGTCGGGTGAGAATAGAATTGCTGCGCGAATTAACGCCTTATGACCGTCTTTGTCGTTTTCGCCAACGCCTTTATCGTCGATTCCGTCAGCAAGATGCCGTTGACTCGCGTGACGCACGCACACGCGTAAACGCGATCGAGCACACGTGCCCGCACCGTCATCACGAATGAAGAGTAAAATTCTAAAACCGGCGCGACCCATCAAGCTGATTGATCAGAAACGAATATCCGATGCGCGAGCCAACGTTAATTAATCCTTTTTCACCGGACGTTGTCGTGTGCGTCCAATCGTTCTATAGCGTTTTAATTATCGCGCGGCATAAAAGCCTACGGACCCCCTCCACGGATTAATTCTCCTTTGACAGAGGAAGAGTGATTATACCGGACTCATACTTGATTCATCGCTTTTTGTTTCATGACGAAAATTCAATCGGGGCGTGGAAAATTCCGATTCCGGGCGCGAATCAATGGAATAATTAACGCGGATATTTGCCCTGGACAGATAAGGGAGACATCGAAAGATCGGAAATACTTCAGAGTTGTTTTCCGATCGTGATTCTCTCGAAAACCGTCGGAAGACGTCGGTGTTAAAAAAGGCGAAAAATTACGTTCAGATTAAATGAAAGCGAGAGATAATCAAGACTAGAAGCTCTACTGGACTATCCAGCACACGCGAATTGTGATCATTCACCCCGCTATGTTCGAGATTATCGCCTCTAAAGGAACCGACCGTTGTACGGGGTTATCTTTCATCAAAGATTCAATGTCTCCTAAGTGCTGGGCGTAAAAGCCGTAGTTAGGAGAGAATCCAATATCAGTGATCCAAGCCTCATTCGGTGCTCAGTCGCTCCGTGGCAGCAGGCGGTATTATCCCCCGCGGAAAGAGGGGCGAATCGATCGGTATTTTTACTCGCGAGCTCACGCCCCGACGCACCGCGTGTGTACGTACGCGCGTACTCGTGACGCCGTTCCTATTAGCACGCTTTATTTCTTCCGCAAAACATCGTCGCCCTGTCGCACTGGAGCTTTTTATATAATCCAGCTTTATGACGCAATGCACCGTCGTACGCGCGCCCTCGCGCGCGCGGCTGCATCTGTGCGCGTAGTCACCGGCGTGTGACGTCACGTTCATTGGTTTTCCCATGAAAATTCTATCGTTGTTACTAAAAACAGCTTTTTCTTTACAAAAATAAGAAACGAGCACGCTCGTTTCATTTGAATTGCCGCCGAAAAAAGAGGCGAACGAGGAGGAAGGTCGCGTAGCGCGACGAAATCGCGCTGGAAAAAATTACGTCGCACTTATTACACGTTCGAAAGTTTTCCCTTATAACCAGTAGCGTTCGTATAGATTTCGCCGCGCACTCAACGCCGAATATCACGGTTCGCATTCGCATTACGACGGACAAACAAAATTCGAAGCCGAACGGTCGCATTTATCATTAAATACAGGGAAAATGTAAATCATTTACGGACGTGCGCATGCGTGTCATTATATATTATTAATCCCTCATCCATATGTTAATATGGTTAAAATATTTCTACCGCTCCTTTTCATTCGGCTGTTGGATTCGCAAAAGCAATCTTTCCATGTTGATTTATTGGATTTCTGAAGTGATACATGAAACGTGCAGAAAAAATGTATTTATTAATACAGGAAAAAGTGGTATTATGGCCCCTTTTAATATTCACTATTAAGTGGCAAATTCTAGTGATCATTTATAAAATAATTGATTTAGCAATAGCGCCGTAGTGGCGATAATATGGCAATACACAATAGCCGACATTTGTTATAACACATTTTTAGTTCTGAACATTTCGAAAAGTTTTCAAAATATATTTTAGCATTTAATTATACATACTTCCTCATTCTTCTTAAATTTTAGCATATTATCACGCGAATATACATTTCATTTGCTGTATATATTTCGAGTTATGCAAAGTTAAACAATATCATGGCATTTGCTAATGTGGCCTACTAAATGTGTTGTTAATACGATCTTCTTTTTGAAGTTTTCATATCGATGTAGTTATTTAATAAATCGATTCTAATCTATAGCTCACTGCTGCACATTTTTCTGCACAACATTGCTATCTTTCTAACAGATTGCATCTTCTGACAAGTAAGTCAGCATCTACATTAAGAATTTAGAGTCATATTTACTGTTGTACCTTCTAAGAGTTTATATAAATAATTTTGTAATAAAATATTCTGTTATTTTAAACAAAATCAATTTTTTAAGTCTATTTTAGTTAAGAGCCACATTACAACCTATATTTCTCTTTAACCCATGCAGTATCGTCACATTTTTATAAATAATGTCCTAAGTAATAAATATTTCATAATTTTGGATGTAGAATCGATTGAATAATATTTTGACGAATGTAATCATTAAATTCTTAATTTAAAATATATTGATTGTCAACAAGTTATTGTATAAAATATAAATGAGGGGCCATAATACCATCTTTTCCTCTACGTCTCTTGACTATTAACCCTTTTAGTGCCGAGCAAAAGTATCGTACTTATGCGAAGAATATCGAGCCAATTTGATGAATTTGCTAAGGTTTGGGAAAAAGCTCATAAAAACCAAATTAAAAATGATATTTACAAAATTCAAAAAGCAGCATATTACGAAATAAAGAAAGAATAAAGCAATGCCAATTGTATTTCAATGTTTGTTGAAAATCATACGAATAACATCAATATAAAACATGATGAAAAACATAGAAACAAGTTTCTCTTCTATCACAGTTTGATCACAGTTTTATGTAGATCACGTAGTATGAAGTATAAGTAATACATTTTCAATCATTTTTAACAAAATAACTAATATCGGATCTGAGAACGAAACTGTCTCGTGTCGAGTTTCTACCTTATCGCTCCAGCGTATACAGAGGTACCAAGCAGCATAGAATATAACAAAAAGTTGAACCTAAAAACAATTTTTTAAATTCTTTTGTTATGAAATTAGACCGTTTATAACGTTTTATAAATTTATTTTGAGATAAAGCTTTCTCGCAATGCGAATAGTAAAACGTCCTCGGATACGCGACGATATATCGTCGTTGGCACTTTTTGCAAGTGTTGCAAACGACGATATATCGTCGTTTGGCACTAAAAAGATTAAATTGGTTTCTAAACTAGCCATCGCTAGCACAGCTCTTTTCGGAAGAAAAGGGTTGACAGTCTCAGAATATCGTAGTTTATCTTTCGTACGACGCGATCGCTCGTACGATCGACATCATGTACGATCGACATCATGCTGTACCCCTCCTTAGAAGGAAAGTTACACGATTTTCAGCGTTACACGTAACACACATAAGGTTGAAAATCGCAGAAATAACTCTAATTACAATGGTACAGTTATAATGGCTCTAATTACAATAGTTTCAACATATACATGTGAAAGACTATAAATTGTGCAATGGTAAAAAGTATAAACGACGCCGAATGTAAAATAAAGGTAATGCTTAGACGCGCTGAACATTCTTATTGTTTTAATCTTTAAATACAATTTTATTCAAACTTTCAACATAGAATACGTATACATATATATATATATATATGTTACGTTTAAAGATTAAGTATTCATATTTAACCCTTTGGGGACGCGTGTCGGCATATAGCCGCCCATGCCGTTTTACCGTTTATGAAAAATTTTTCTTGTGTTAAATAGAGCCTTAGTTTTTATAACGTTCAACGTATTTATTTTTTTTACTGCGCACTCCAATACCTCTCGTCCTCAGCGACGCTCGCCCGTCGAGCGGCTCCGTCCCCAAAGGGTTAAAGAGCAAAACAACAAGAATGTGTTAGGTGCATGTCCGGACATTGGTACTCTCACCTTACGCGACAAGATTCCGCTCGCGTATCCCGATTTTCGCGGGCGAGGGGTTCGAGTCTCGAGGAAGCGAAGAGTCCTCGCGCGATCCTACGTAAGCGTACGCGAACTCGCGTACCTACGTAAACGAGTCCGCGAGCGCGATTATGCACGGGACTTACCTACCTACGTGCATTTATTTTCCGCGGCAGTAGCTCGTTTCATCACGCTTGCTTTCTTCCGAGCGCGATGCCTAGCGTCGTTGGCTCGCTGGTTGGCGATCTCTCAGCCAGCCAGCCAGCCAGTTTAGTTCAGTGACACCTACTCCGCGCTGCGTTATTACGCGCACGCAACGAACGCACACGTCGCTCGATGGTTGCGCCGGCCGCACGCACTTTGCGTATCATCGTGCCGTGCTGTGCCGTGCGTGCGTGCGTGCGTGCGAACCAGCTTCGACACGGATGTTCTACCTGGCGTGGACGCGGACCGAGGAAGCTTCTCCGCGGAAAATTTCTCGGCGATGGCTGTCTGCCCGGCTATATATCGTCCGTTTGTTTTTGCTCTGTTTACCTAGGTGCATACAGCACCTTTCAGAACACGCTCGGTTGCGCGTGAGTTAAGAGAGGAATTAATTTGCTCCGGCCGGTGCATTATTCGCGGAAATGGCGATTTCAGGAAGTTGCATACTCGAATAAGAGGAAATTAGAAGTTAGAAATTAAGTTACAAATCGGCAATGATATGATAATTCGTCTTAACAGTGAGAATCATCTCGAGAGAAACGATTTTATAAAAATATTTGAAAATTATGATACCAGAAGGATCGAATGTTAAAAAATACATGATGAAAAATTAAGATGATAAAATTAATTACGACTTACATATGCTGTTAAGTTGATGTATAAGATTTGCCATTTTTTACTATTAAATTCGGACTTGTATGACGATTGAATATCGAAAGCAAAATAAAGGAATCATCGTTAAATATTAAAAAAAAAGTACCGAGTCGATGTTATTCATTTATTCGTAAAAATTATTAATTCTTCAATATCGGATAATTTCGCTCTCAATTTTATTTAACAAACACGACTTTTGCACCAACCTAATATATTTCGCATCTGCTATCAGCTATCGGATTTTGGAAATTATTGTTGCATAAAAAAATAGCGTGTTCATGAAGATCATACAAGATGACCCGCGGCGAACGACTCGATCAGAGAGAATGATTGCTTCTGGCAAACGTTAATCGTGATTTCTTCCGTTCGTAGATAGAACGCGAGTTGGTCCTGTCGTCAGGAGACAAGAACTCCAAGATTCCCATCCTTCACGAGTACAAACAGAGGACCGCCGGAAGAGTCGCCATCGCGCCGGATGCGCCGATCAAGCAACAAGCCTGGGTTCAGGAGGTGAGTGCGATCCTTTGCGATAATTTACGAGACTTGGGTAAATCACACTGATTTCCTCGTGTCTTTTCTTCCGGCGGATAGCCGCTAACGTAACGGAAAAAATATGTAGGTTTTCTCTTCTGCAACACGAAATGCTTCCTCGTCGATTTGTACGGTGAACTTTCGCACCTGCTTTCGTCTTCGACTTCCCAGGGTCTCCAATAAATTACGAGAAACGTTTCCAAAGGATTACGACAGATTTAATCGTTAAGAAAACTGAGTCTCTTCGCGTCTCAAATAAACAGCAAACCTATAATTGTCTATTCAGATTCATTCGAAAGAGAAACTTTCGACAAAAATTCAAACTCAGATTGAATTAAATAGCTTCAAACAACAGTTGCAAGTTATGCAGAATCGAAAGAGATTGTTCCGAATTGCATTTGATAACAAAGCAAACTTTAAATTTCAAACGTTGAAAAATCGAAGTCTGAAGTAAAGGTAAAATATCGATTGGACTGAATTCGCGACGGGGATGAAACATCGGTGTATCAAAAAAAAAAAGAAAGGAGGAAAGAAGAAAAGATAAAAATGAGCGAGCCAAATTTCAAATTCACAAAGGATATCCTTTCGACGATAGTGGTGGAATTTTCGTCTCTCACTTCGAGCCCGGCTACACCGCCGTCCGCTACGATCGTTACGAAATTCCACGATTAATTGGGCGTCACGTGTATGCAGCGTTATGCACACGTGCCACCCACGCGCGTGCCAGGGGCGTCGGTAGGCGTCGGCAACGCGCGTGCTGCCAGACGTTCGTTTTTCCGATCGCTGGCTCTGTACCGATTCCCCTCTGGAGGATGGGTGTGGAAAACGATGCTCGATCGTAAGTTGATACATGCGCGCGCGTTCCTTTGTCCATTTTTCCCCTCTTCTTTTTTTAACGAACGACCTCCGTTTCGACGCAGCGGCCGTTCCCGTGGTTTCACCGTCTTCCGTTCGCTCGCTCGTTTTTCTTGTTCCTCGTCCAGAATTTTCTAACGATTCGCTTCGTTATTCGAAATCAGTTGCGCTGCTTGTAATCCTAACCTTTGTAACAATCTTTGTAATCTGATACACATCGTATTTCACGGTGCAATTAACCGGTCAATTCGTCTGATTCATTTATCTGAAACTGATTTATTCTAGCGCGTTCTCAGGTAGGAGAATTAGTCGTTAGGGCCGGCTCGCCGCTGGGACGTAAATTATAATCCCGCGCTGTCATTCCCCGGGAGATGCGCGTTAACGACATATCGTGAGAAATAGGGGCGGTTGTACACGCGCAATCTCTCCCCGTATACGATATTGATGGGTCCGCGTATCACAAAGGCGAGATGGGTTTAACAGTTACGCCCGTGATATACTCCAAATATACCATGAATCCCTCTCTCGTCTCTCAGTTTACGAGATGGAGCAGACTAAATTGTATAGTTACCGGTCCTCGGGTAGTCATCGACTATCCTATTGATTCCATGATGCTCCGCCGTTTATGGGATACTTCGGGCGATCCGTTTAGAAACTTTGTTGCGACTCTCGCGTGTACCAACGAAGAAATAAATTCGTTGTTTCGCGTTTCCCCCCTCCCTCACCCTTCCCTCTCTCTTTCTCGATATCGCTCATCTTCGTCCCGGAACTGACCGATCTATTCATTACTAAACTTTCCCGGTCTTCTCAACGGAAGAATCCATTATTCGGCCACTTTTTCGAAAGTTCTTCGAAACTTTTTTAGCACCGTGCAGGATATCATAAATCTTCTCGATATGGTGATTTCACTCTCGTATGTGTGTGTGTGTGTGTTGAGTTCTCTCGCAGGTCGAAGTTCAATAATATTATTATTGAGATGTTTCCGTTATTTTCTTGCTACAATGTCATGTCGTTGTGCTCGTCGCTATTCAACACGAAGATGAAGATGAGCGGGAGGTTGTCGGGTCGTCGCGGATTACAAATGTCGCGCGAGCGTACCGGCGGCGAAGAAAAGCCTTCCACGATTCGCACTCAGCGGACAAACGCGACACGCTCCGACATGCTGGACGACCAACTTTCGTCGCCTTTCGAATTACATGAAACTGCTTTACATAATACGCATCATCGTACGGGACGATGCTTAATCAGCCTCGGACGTGATCCCTGGCACAGCGTTGCGCCGGGTGAGAAAAAGAGAAACAGAGAGAAAGAAAGAGAGAAAAAGAGAGACGTCTCGCGTAGCTCATAAACCCATTTCCAGCGCTCTCCGGAAACTACCTTAGCGTTGCTAACTCAGCACGTGGACTCGATAAGTAAATTTTTTCCTACTTTCGTGGAAGGCATACTGCGCTTTCGCCGCTTCTTGTTCTCCCTTTTCAACGCCACGCACACTCTCTGCAATCCGCCTTTCGGAACTCTGTTGCGGTTTCGCCACGGAAATTTCCCCGACGTATGGAACTATCGCGAGTTGAAGAGCTCGTCCGAGGGGGAACGTGCGAAAAATGTAAAATGCATTCGGCATATTCGTACGAACGATTTCCGCTCGGTCAATTCTACGATTTATCTCCAATACGCCGAACGTAAAATTCCGTTCGGTCTGTCTCTCGCTAGGCGTAGCTTCCTCTAATGTAGAAAGAAAGCAAAAAGAAACCACGTTCATACGCGTCATCGAGAGGTCGTGATTTTTCGAAGAATTTGCCTCGACGCGAAATTTAGTTCTGATTTCTCTCGTACAGCTACGAGCTAATAATCCGGCACGGGTATCGGCATGGCCGTAAGTCAGAAAGCCGCTTCCGTATGCGCGATGCGTGCTCGCAGGGCCCTACGTGGCCGTTGTTATTCCAGGCGCATCTCTTCCTAAGAACCGTAGGATTCAGTGCGTGAACTTTGAAATTCCCCGTATCGCTAAGGTGTACACACAAACACTCATACATGTGTGCAGACGCGCATGGCTGTTGGCCGGCCCGTGTCCTCCTTCCAAGGGAATCGTATTCGATCCTGGCGAGTCGATAGCGTATCACTTTATTTTACGACCATCGTTGATAACTATTACACAGCTTGGTCAGATCGAGTCATCTTGTGTCATGACACGCCGTCGTAAAGTATTTCTAATTTCGTCACACGAACGAACATTAATACTGCGTATTAGTTTAAAGGCGCAGTTCTCTAAACGACGATCTCCGTGTGTTGGAAAGTTTTATAACGCATCGTTTACGACGGTTAATTGAGATCGCTGATTTCCGGACGATCCCCGTGAACGGTAGATCCTCGTGAACCAACCAACTTTAATGCCGGTGAGTTCCGTTTCAGCTATTCCGCTGGATCAATGTGTTCCGGGGGATTTAATTCGATGCGCGATTTGCTTTCTCACGCACCGTGTAAATTAAATCTCGCCCGGTGTGTAATGCCTGATTGTGACATTTTTACGTTTTATTTGTACGTATGCGTTTCGCAAAACGTTCGCCTTGATCTCTCGTGCGCCACGAGTGGCGTGCAATTTATCGCGAAACATCATTTGACATCCCTCTCTGAAAGGGAATCCGTGTTTCAACGCGAATCATTTTAATGACATTCGTCTGAACGACGAGTCTCCTTTGCGCGCGCTACGTAACGATTAAATTCTCGCTCGTATTCCTGTAAAATTAAATATTAATTATATATTGAAAAAATATATATATATATATATATATGTGTGTGTGTGTGTGTGTGTTATACATTATTAATTATATATATTAATACGCTGATATCTACTCGGCATAATTTTCTGCAGCTGAGCCGGGATCCAAAAAGTATTAGAGCCATTGGGCTTTGTTTTCCCAAAGTCCCTGCTTTTAAACGATCTACGGCGAAAGTGCGTTCCGGGAGTAAACTTTAGATGAGTTCCGCTCGTTGAGAGTTAAACGAGTTTGGGATATTATGTCATAAATGCACACCGGCCACGTGGCTTCGCGTCATGAATCGCTTGTCGAGGAAAATCATTTCCACCGAGTGTTTCGCACAAAATAATGCTGATGTGGGGATAACGATTTTTTAATAATAAAATTAACAAAGCGTCACCTGTACGCTTATATATAAATTTCACCCTTGAACCTGGCAATAAAAATAATAAAATAAAAATGACAGTAAAAATACGCCCGAAGCAAAAGTTCGATTTTCGGCGATTCGTTTATTCGGAGCGCCGCGTCACTTTCGATGCCACGTGATATTTTTAATATCCATCGGTGTCTCTCTCGGCCTGCGAATCGGTTTACCGTAGCGCAATGATTCGTTGATTGCCTATCGCCCGAGTTTCGCGTGCTCCTCACTGCTTTTTGGCATGCAAACTGCGCTCCAACAACTTTCTCGAAATATTCGCTAACAATGCAAAGTTGGTTGCAACTCGACGTACACTACGAGCGCGTTCTACGTTTGTAGACAAATATACACTTGCTACGCAAATAATTTGATACGTCGATTCGTTAGCACAACGAGCGGACGAACGGACGGACGCAAGTTTATTTATTATAATTAAATCTCGTCTCCTCGCTGCTCAGTTGTTTTAATCGGCAAACGAGTTCTTTCAACGTCGCTGATAAGCGCCACTTTCCGACACCGCGGTTGTGTTTTTAGCCACGCTATATGCCGATGCGTAATTATGTATTCCCTGTTTGACGGCTTAATTGATCGCGTCTAACGAAACCGCCGTTGCGCAGTTAGCGAATTTATGGACGTTATACGCCCCATCATTTATGCCTCTCCAAGGGATATTTTACGAACGATGCGTGTTCTTAACGATGTGTGCTGATCGTCAGGCTCTCGTATGATTTTTTTATTCTTCTGTATTTTTACAGGGAACTCAGATGCAGGAAATAAGGCAGGACGGCCAATCGAGGAATTATCAGTCACAGGACACCTACTCGTAAGTATTCCGCTCGTTTCACGCTCGTGCGAGTTTCGCGCCTTTAATGAGAATTCTTCGACACACGCGAAAAAATCGGGCAAGAAATACCAAGTCTCGGGAAATTTTGTTGCACAAAATACAATCGGGTTACATTGGATATAGGAATCAAGTCAGATCAGAAATCTGACGTGGAAATTTTAAGTATAAAATTTAATCAATAGTAGAAGAAAATGGAACATAGTTGTATGATATAAATGTTCTTTCAACTACCAAAGGGTTAATCTAATTACATAATGCGAATAATTATATGTCTGGAAGGTTAAATGAATCAGGACACCTATTGTGGAAATATTCTGGAAGGTTTCCAATCGGAATCGCTTAGTTATTCTTTAGATTCCTATTGTGTTTTCTGAGGAATAACTGAAAAATTCCGATCGGAAATCTTTTCGAACAGTTTCATGAGGGTAATCTGAAGATATCACGATCATTAACGGGTGTTACGTCAACGTTATGGATCGTCGTCGAATTTAATTTTAAGTTTGTTTTATGCAAACGAGGGGTTAAGAAAATCTTGCTAAGAGACTCGATTGCAAACGAACGGGCTGTGATTGACTTTGGAAATTTACTTTCACTTGTCTCGCACATCTATATATATATATATATAGTCGGTGCTAGACGAAATAAACTAGATCGCTTCCCGATCGTTAGCGGCAATCTTAATGCGCGATCAACATTATTGCACACCGCGTATCGCTTTAATTACACTCTCGAGAGATTGAACGAGCAAATCGGAGCTTCTGATCGCCGCTTCCATTAGATCGACGTCGAGCGGGGCGGTGCCGAGGACGACGACGGTCACGACGACGAAGATCGACGAGGAGAAGACAAAGTCATTGTCTAGGACTTATCACACCATTAAGGACATGATCTCGAGTCGTTTCGGGCCGAGTCGCAAGGACGTCGAGCCGGAACCGGAAGCGAGTCTTAATAACGTTACCGAGGAGCTACGGAAGTCGAGCAGAAGCATCGACGACGACGAGGCCAGGAAAAAGGAAGGGATCTACGGGAAGCCCCGCGCGCAGGAGCCGTCGGTCAACGTGCAGCAATACCCTAAAAATGCTTACGGTAAGTCACGGCGAGCATGCAAGGCGCCGCACGGACAATCAAGCGCGGCTAACATAACGCGATGCTCGTGCTGCTGCCAAGGTCCCGTTAATTAGTTCATAATTGTTGATTAATTAAAGGAAAAAAGCGGGATTTTTTTCTCTCGTTAAATCGCGGAATCGCGGCTTCCATAAATGCGAAGCAGCAATGTATGCGCACATAGCGAAACGCAGAACGGGTTTTCCTCCGGTATTTTGCACGAACTCTTTGGAGCGCTACATGCACTAAAAAGAAATCGACGACTGACTATTATCAGTTCGTTGCGAAAGATCTGTCGTTTTCCCGCGAAGCTTCGCTTTGAAATAAAGTTATCGATTTTCGTTTAGCGAAAAATGGTGACGCGCGTTATATGGTTATATAGGAGAAAAAAAAAATCGTTACCACGACTGATAATAGTTTTGATAAGTAGATCGTTTCCGATAAGTATTTTTATGCTTTCAATTTATTTAATAATTCAATTAATGCAATGATTATGATGAAGTACTCGATTTGTTGGTCGGGCTGTACGTTCGTACCTTTCAGCATTTCAGAGCTTTCGCGTTGCCGTAATTTCTGCAATTATAATAATTTGTTCATGAAACGTGTGTTTCAAACTTGACGCGTAAATAGAGGGGAAACTCGGAGTTTAATTAACTTTAGTGACGTATTGCATATTCCTACGATACAGTAGACATTTTAGCATTTCTGTAGTAGTGCCCGGGCACGCTTTCGCGATGCAATGTGTTAGCTGTATCTGAATTTCTATAATCGACGTAGCGTGTAGCTCTGTGAACTGCATTTATGTCCAGTCAGAATGCGAATTTAGCTTGATAGAATTTATTATATTATAAATGTATATTATTATTTTATGTCATAAATATGTTCGATACAATTTATAACAAAATTCACATACAAAATGTTCAGAAGAGGCATAGAGATACCAGCAGCTCAGGAGTGTATAATATTCATTTGGAAGTAGTATAAAAATGTTTTAACCAAAATAATTTCAAAAATTCATTTTTCATAAAATACGAACATTTTTGTTTCAATAACACGAATAATTTATTCTTTTCTATTACATTCCTCGCATAAAGAGATAAGATTATTTTTATTTATCTGAACAAATTACTATTATTGTTTTGTTTATTTTCATTTTTACAAGGAATGTTGTCTTTCATTTTAGACCGTGAATCGACATATATTTTTAAATATGCTCGGCTTATTTCGTATTGACAGATGTACATCTTTTACTTGATGCTGTAAGGCCGCTACATTGTTCACTGTGGATGAGTACGCTAAGCTCTTTGAGCATTCAATGTATTTAAATAGAATAACTTATTCCGTTACCGGAATTGAAAGTCGTATTCTACACCGAAAGGATTGGACATGTGATGACTGGGCATTTTTTTTTCTTTTAGTGAGTTTGCTTTACGCTATCTTATATTGGGTTATTTCTTAAAATGTGCTACCTAGTAATAAAAAAATTAGTATGATAAAATCACATAATAATAATAAATAATAATAATAATAATAATTACGTACGTATATATACGTAATTAAAGAAAAGCTGTGCTTACGCGCGTTAGAGTTAATTCTCTTTGTGCGATAATGTGACGAACTGAAATAACACGGAGGCTCTTGGCACTCAGGTCAGTACGGTCATTCGTACGGTTATCAAAGCGGCCAGCAAAACGTACCTCTGCCAGGCCAACTGCAGCCGACTACGACCATTCAGCCGAATTTACCAGGACAGAGCGCTCAGCTTCACGTGACCCACCACACACCACCGGGAGGAGTTCAAACGGTTCATCAAACCCAGGTTCCCGCTTTCGGCCAAACCGCGACAGGTGCACAGCAGGTGCAAAACGTTACGAGGGAGTACGTGGTTCAGACACCAAGCGGAATGACCGGCCAGCAAATGCATCAAGGAATCCACCAAAATCCCGCGCAAGGACAGGTATACGCTACAATACTAAAGATACGAAAGGATAACATGATATCTTGCGAAAACCATGAGCGAATGAGTAGGGCAAAACTCGATACTGAAAATCTTTGAGAGATAATTCGCGCACGATATTTGTTATATGTTAATTTTTTATATTCTTCTATACATATTAGTTTTGAATGTATGTTCAGACCATCTTTCTCTTTCTGCGAAATTTAAGTGAAACATAAAATCTAACTGAAATCTAATTAAATCTAATTAAACGATATCTCTCTAATTTATGAAAGAACAATTTCTCCCTCCTCAATTTACACACGGTTCTATTTTACGAATCAATTCCTTTAATATACTTTATTCATATATATTTCGACGAAAAATATCACCGACGGCGCTATCGATGCATTATATTCTTGGCATTCTCACACGGATGCGGATATTCGTTTCGAATACTGTGTGTAGGAAAAGAAGACTCCCTCTCAGCGGGCGGAAAAATAAATGTCTCGCGGCTAGTCGCTTCTCCCGGCGACATTTCCTTCATATAAATTCAAATCAAGTAACAACGTAACCATGGCCAAGCAACCGCGTCTTATTCACGGACGATTTCACCGCGCGACGTTAAACCGTGCGATGTAATACTCGAAATTTAACGCGATACCGCGTAACATAGCGTGACAAAACTCACGGAGCCGCTCCGTCCACCGCGTATAATGATTAATACCCGTCTAGTCTCGTCGTCTAGTACCGTGAACGCACCCGTCGACATTTTAATTTGTTAAATGACGGCTGGTAGCAGACGCACGTAACGTCGCGTTACACAACGTTAATTTACCGGCGAATAACGCGCCGTAATATTCGTAATCACGTGCCTTAACACTTTCTGCATTGTTACTCACAGAAATCTAACGAGGAAGTCTATAAAATCGATTTAAGTAACCACGCTCGTGAAATTAAACCGCTATCCATAATAACGATACACTAGATATACTGCAAACGTTAATATTAAACATTAGAATAGACGAACTGTAGAATAGAATTTGCATGTTAAATAGCAAATAGGAAAATCATGCGAGATGTCTGAAAGAATATCAGGCCGAATATCGAATATCGAGTCGATGTGTTGTTTATATTATTCATAAAAGTTATTAATATTTTGCATGAATTTCGATAATGTTCTTTTCAATTTTCCACTCGACAAATGTAATAAACCATCTACGCCAACCTAACATTTGTATTATTCGCTACTCGCAAAAAGCAAAGACGCGTGTCAGCAAGTCCAGATTTTGCGACAACTATAAACACTGTTAATATTTCACGTCATTTCAATATTTTATTTGGTCGGTTCAGGGGCAAGGCGCACAGGTGCAAAAATCCCACGGTCTATCCGTGCAGCAGCATCAGGTGAGCAACACGATGCCGCCGACCAGCCAGAGCTATCAGAGCCCGCAGCAGTTGCTTCATCAGAATCAGAACCACCATCAAAGTCCGCGGTTCGCGCAGCAGCACGCTCAGAACATGCATCAGCGTCAGCTGATTCAACAGATGCATCAGCAACAAATGGCCGGGCAGCAAGGCGCGCAAACACCGGGCCCACGAAACGTGCAGCAGTCGTATTTCGCCAACAGCGTCTCTTATCAACAATACCAACAGGCCAGGCAGGCCATGTCGAGGTCGCAGATCGACTTACCGAGCACGTCCAGACAAGCCCAGGAGTTGCGTGTGTCGGGCCAAGAGGTTTACTACCACTACGCTCAAGGCAGACCGCGATACGGTATTCCCCAAGTGTATATGAAGACCGAGAGCAATCAGGAAGCGGAGTTCCAGAGGCGGAACTCCGCCAAGGGTATCGAGAAGGCGGCCTCGCAACCGCAGCTTTGTTACGAGGATGAACGGAACGCAGAAACCTCCAAGAATCCCGCGGAGAATATGAAGAATCTCACTGTGGATCCATTGGACAAGGAGAGGTAGGATTTCGGAACAATTACATCGGGTATCCACCAAGATTCGTTACGGATATAACGAATACTTGAGAGAACGAAAGTCAGAAAGTGAGCAACATCAGAAAGTTTAGGGATAGCCGAGGGCTCTATCGAAGGGAGTTTTATCAGTTTGGAGAAACTGTTTCCCCCGAAAGTATTTCCGAAACTATTTATCTCGTGGAAAATCTATTCCTAATACACACATACGTACATTGGACGAGACACCAGACAGCAAAAGTGAGAGGACTAAACTCAAGATACGCTAAAAACTCTCGTGAATCTAAGGGATATTGTGTATTTCAGATACGAGATTACGGTGGAGGATCGAAATCAAGGCGAATCCGGGAGAAACGGCTCGCAGAGGAACGAGGAGTATCGGCCGGAAACTAGTTTCGGCATTCGGAGGGATGAGACGCGGGCTTCGAAGAGGGAGCACGAGCAGAGCTCGTCGGGTCAAGAGGGCGGAGGATGTCAAGACTCGACGGAGGGGAACTCGGTGCAGAAGAGGATTGAGGAGTTGCAGAAGCGAACGGAGCAGGAGGGCGGTCATTTCAGCAAATCCGCCAAGGAGGACGCGGACGGCCTGAGGGTCGGTTTGGCCACGAAGATGATCGGCGAGGCGTCGAAGCGACTGGAGGGTGGACAATACGGCGGCAAGGAGGCAGCTGTGAAAGCGGATAGCCGGAAAGACGATTTGGAGCAGGGTATCGGCCGGTTAAAAATTCAGAATCAAGGCTCGGGCTCGGATTACGACAAGGCGGGTCAGAGTTCTTCGAATGTCGACTCCGGGAGAGGCTCCGCGGTTTACTCGAGCGGAAGACGCCCGCCACCGGATGACCAGACTTTGGCGCAAGGTGAGACGTCTCAACTGTAATGAACGTTTTACATTTGCTTGTTCATACATCTTCTTTCTCGCCGCTTGTTTTGTAAAGTTTTATGAAGGTAATTAACACGGCCTCTCGCAGCGATTATTCCCGACGCTTCGAAGGGACATCGTTATTCATGTCATTGACTTCCGGTCCTTTTGGCAAGCTTCTCTCATTCTTTATCATTTATTTGCGTTCTTCGGTATATCTGTGTACAGTTTGACATTGACGAGGGTCCACAGTTGGGTCTGAAATGTTTGTAAATGTTAAAATATTAACGGTGCGTCTCTTTGGTTTTTCACTCACGCAACTCCGACATTTGGCTATTATTAGCTTTTTGTTTGTTTTTTTTTTTTTTTATAACCTTCGCTGTTTTATAAAGTAATACCAGATTAATTCTCTCGTACATATTTAATCGTTGATAACAAATTATTGGAGCATCAAACCATAACAGACTATTTTAATTTTACAGATTATCTCGTATGATCTTTTGAATTGTAGTAATCTCCCTTTTCCGTTGCAAAATAATCTCCCGTATCTTGTTTCCGTCGAGAAGGATAGTCATTTCCCCCGAGTTTTTTACAATTGTTCTTTTTCGGTTCATATCATATTCATTTCCGGCAAAATATCGATCGTTTATCGATCCTTCCGCTCTCACCGCATTTATGTTCCTTCTTTTGTTCAGTTCAAGACTCCGAATGGGTTGATATAGTGGAGTCGGAATTGCGGAGTATTCTGGAGCCCAGAGATGTTCCAGCGATGGCGCATTCCACCCTGTCCGAAAGTGTATCCTCCGTGACACCGCCTCTGCCGCCGCTGTCACCCCATGGCAGCCCGCGTACACCGAGAAATCGATACTCAACGAGGTAACCCGACTACAAACAGGTCCCTCTTCTTCGCGCAACCGGTGTTACTTCCGGTCACTGCCCCGAGCCACTTCCGATTTTGTTATCCTCCTGCTGATAGATCGAAATTCCGATATCGGTGTCTGGCCGAAAAGTGACCGCCACGGTGCTAAAAATAAACGTCACTCCGTTGCGGCGTCTAAATATTCGGTGTGGTGAGACTTGCGTAAAATATTAATTAAACAGAGAATCGATTCGTGGGCATTTAATTATTTGTAAAAAAATGTCACCTGACGCTCGAGACGAGACTCCGCGTAATTGTTCTCTGTTTTATTAGGAAATGTCTAAATTTATTAAAGTTAGAGGGACGCGTTGCCGCGCATGTGCGCGTTAAACCGTGAAGAGTATGAAGACACCGTTATATATCTATTCTCCGGTGCTTTCGGTCAATTAATCTCACTGAGTCTTCGACAACTTGACAACGGCGAGATAAACGAGTTCTATAGATTTGTCATTTGGATTTTACGTTGTTTCTTTCTCGCGTGACTCTTTGTTCCGATTTGACGACTTTTCCGCTACTATTTGATGCGCGACGATGACGTGTCGTTCGATAGCATTAATAAGAATGTCTTCGTGGGAATTTTAGTTTACCGTATGGATCGAAACCAAATTACAGCGATTATAGCAAGGCTATGGAAAAGAGAGGTTTCTCAAGCGGCGCTAAACATCGTGGCGCTTCGACGTCCAAGAAGGAAGCCGCGAAGAAGTTTTCACATCGTGAGTATTAGTTTTGCAGATAAATATCTTATTACAGTTCAATTTGCACAAATGTCACATTTCTACATTTCAAATATTGAACCAACCTCTAATAATAATTATTATATGATGTCGTTCATACAAATAAGCAATCACAATTTACATCAGTTTAATTTATCGCGGCGAATTTAATACTTGTGATTAATAACCGATTTTACCAAGTATATATGGTAATTTTTAATTTTTACACGAATTTTCAGTTTTCGGAGTGGAAGCCGCCGATTTAACATCCACCACGACAGGGCTCGACTTGGATTCTATGTTAGATAGGAGCGACTCTGATCTCAGCACCACCGACGCAAGAACGATCAGAAAACAGTTGGAAGGTTTAGAAAATATGTACAGTGAAGTAAGTGCGATACTTTTTCAATGTGATTTGCTAGCCTTATGTTAGTCTTTTTCTGAACAAAATCTCATTCTACGAACTAGAATTATTTCACGACCGTCAAAATTAGAAAAGAAAATATATATATATTTTTCTTGCTATTAATTTATTGCATTACTGGTGACGGAAATATGTGAATTTAATAATTCATTTTAATATATATAATTTAATACGCGAAATAAGTAATCGAGACGAAACAACCGACATTTACTTCATGTCCGAATTTGGGAATATCAGATATATATTTAAATGTTTCCCCCTATGACCGCGATGAAACAGAATCGTGTGCGAAAATTAACGGGAGTAAATGTGCAAAAATGTTTGCGGCAGGTACGTGATTGAATTTGCTCCAATTTGCATACGCAAAAAACTGTTGCAGGTGCTTAAATTGCTGGGCGGAAGCGTAAAGAAGAGACGAAAGGCGAGAGGACTCACCAGTTATGGTTCGGTCTCGTCGTTGCCGACGTCCTCCGTGTCTTCCAGGCCTGTCACGAGGCATCACGATAAACGCAGATCCCACGTGATTGATGATAGGATGAAGAAAGCCAAAGACATCAAGGTCAGGAAAGTTAATGGATGATATTCCCGCGTTCTTTTTATGCATGAAACAATTTTTACGCTTACCTCGTCGGTATTCACTTTGACAATCTCTCGTGTGTTGCTTTATTCGCGGGTTGGTCGGATAGACTTTCTCAAATTCTGAGGAAGCGCCACGCTTGTGGATCAATAACTTTCGAATCTGAGATTATTATTGCGATTTACCCTGAGACAACCGGATAACGCAATAAAGCTACTATCTTGATCGTGCAGAGCATCAACAAGCGTTTCCAGCGTCTGGAGTCGCACGTGGTGACATTGGCGAGATCGGTGGCCCATTTAAGCTCGGAGATGAGGACTCAGCATCTGATGATACAGGTGAGAGAACCCGCCAAAAGGTGCGAAACGAGCTGGAATTTCCAAGACTCTACTACTGCTAGGTTTTCGCAGGAAATGGAGAGCATAAAGTGCGAGATTGCGGCCCTCAGGACACAGACGAGCATGGCGATGGTGAGGTCGCAGTCGCAGCCTCTGATCAAGGATTCGGAACTGCCGGCCCTGTCCAATCCTTCGAGGGTGAAGAAATTGACCAAATTCTTCGGCACGGAGCCACCGCTCATCAGACTGTTCCTGAGGGAACTTGGGTATGAGGTAAGTCTGCCAATAATTCTTACGTCGCCTGCGTACGCTTTTGCAAACAAGTGCAGATGGCTTTCGTCTGTGAAATTTATTCGAAGCTCGCAAGCATGTGCGTACGCATATGTGTGTATATGTATAAAAAAATTTTTTTTCCGAAAACCTCCTAGGCGTTTTTTAAACTTCTTTTGCACTTTTTCAAACGCTCGTCATTAAAAATTTTCCCCATAACGAGTGGCACCTGTCTTCTCCTCGGCTTAAGGATAAACCATTTCTCCCGCGCTATCCTCTCAGAATCAGAACTTCTGTTTTTAATCAACCCGATCGTCGGTACCTTTGACAATCGTAGAAATACGCGGCCGCTTTCGAGAAGGAGAAGGTCGGGATGGTGGAGCTGCCTTACCTAAGCGAGGAGAGGCTACAGAAGATGGGAGTTCCCCTGGGCCCGAGATTGAGAATCCTCCAGGAAGCGAGGATCTCGGTATGCAAGGATCCGATTTACGTCGTATAAATTCTCCGGACGGCATGAACGCTCGGCGACGCGAGCAGAAGAGGATGCAAGAGGAGGAGGAGAAAGAAAGGGAAAAAAGTGGGAAAGAGAGAGAGAGAGAGAGATCGTGTCTAGATGAAAGAGAGAAATACACAAGGAACGAAGATCTCGCGCGGAATTCGTTTCCCTCTGTCGACTGATGAGCGTGTTAAAGCGCTCTCCTCCTTGAGAGAAACCCTCGAGGCCGAAAACGCGTCACGGCCCGTTCGTTCGAGAGACGACCCCTTTTTTCTCGTTTGCACAATCAATAGCTACGTTCTGGAAGTTACGCTCGCTGGAAAACGCGCAATTGTAATATTTCGCAACGTTCTTGGCTCGGTGGATTCGCGTCCGGATTGTCTTTGTGTTCGTCGTTGCGGATTACACATCGGAAGAGAGTTATTGATCCGCCGATAGTCCAACGCGGACAGTTCACAAGAATATTATTCGATCAATGTGGCAAGAAGTCAGTGGAGCCGTGAAGCTTTTTCGGACAATTTTCCGAGAATATAATGTGCGCACATTAGTCGCTTCGGGGACATGCGTTTTTTCGTAATCTTTGAACTATCGTTATCTGCGTCTAGCGTAGCCATCGTCGCTGAAGTGTATCGCAACGTCGCAAATTAGCAACAACGTTTCTCCGACGCAGCGTAACGCGAAACGAATCGGCCACAAACGATGATTCGCAAGAAATGCGCTGTGAGCTTGGAAATCAAGCAAAATCGCACGTCACGCGAATTATCTTCACTCGCGTCGAGGAAATTTACGGTTTCGACGTACCGTCGATGTACGTGAGAGTGACGACGAAGGGATATGAATTCGGATGACCTGCCTTCTTTGGGTAAGGATCCGTGGAAAGGAGTCGTGAGAGTCCGAAGGGGCTAATCAAAATGTAAATCCTACGAGTTCTAGTACGCCTACTTGTTCGACTATTATATTTATGCAAGGAGAGTCGGAGCGGAGATACAAAGATAACCCAGCGGAGAGCGGCTACGCGAGAACCTCGGGCGTTCCGCTCGCGCGTTCGCGCGTTCACCGTTAGTTAAGTAATAAGATTAGCATGTAGATTTAGATTACGCGTACGGACTGAACGCTGATAACGCGGCTCTACCCGTGGGCGATGATAATTCGTGGCGCTGATGAAATCGGCGATCAGAGGCTCGAGAGAAGAATGCCGCGCGCATTGGGAACAACGAATCGCGAAGGTATGTTTTGCCAAAGAGACGTACGGACGTCGTCGAGGTGGTGCGGCCAAGGTTTCCCGTTTGACGAGAAGAAAGAGAGAACGAAGAAGAAACGAGGATATTCTCGCGGATACGCGGACTCCTTCGCACCGATAACACCGGCCGTCTGAGAATCGAAAATACGGAACGTACTTTGTGAAAATTTCAAGTCGGATGGACTTCCTCGTAGGAAGTATCGGAAAGAGAGAGAGAGAGAGAGAGTGAGTCGTACTCTCCTAATTACTTCTCGAATCTCGATGTCTTGATAACTAAATCTCAGGTTGAAGGCCGATCGAAGCGAAGCACTCGGTAAATTGAACGACTCGCGTAACCGTTAATTTGCGGTGCTGCGGCGCGATCTCTTCAATGTAAGATGAAATACGGGGATTCCGATCAGGGAACTCTGCCGAGTTCCGTGCAATTTGTCAATCGATAGTTATACCGGCGCGAAATCTCGCTAAGTAATTATCTTGGAACGTTTCGTATTCCCCGGAAATCGATACAGGCGGTTCATACAATAATAGAAAAGTTCTAATTATAATTACAATAATAATAATTATTATTATTATTATATACACCTGATGTTACGAAGCAGCGATACTTCTCTCTTTCACTCTCCCCCCTCCTCTATCTCTCTCTCTTTCTCCTTCTCTCTCCCTCTCCATATATTTCCCCGTTCTCGCTTTATATTATTGACTCCAAATTTCGGTCGCATGGCAGCATGCGCCGTGTAATGTCGATACCAAAGAATCGATACCTGTTCCCTTGGCGCGACGATAACGACAACGATAATCGCTGCTCGTGATCGCGGGTCACACGAACGAGAAGACACGCCACTTTGGTACTCGAATAATAATACACTCTGCACACTAAGCTTCAATAAAGTTTTGGCATTTGCTACGTGAAAACTGATTCAATCTTTTTAATTGTTCCTATCATATCTGATAATACGATATAATATGGCATGAAATATGTGATGTATCAAACGATCGAAATGACAAATCAGTCGAAGAATCAAGAGTAAACAATGTATATGCATATCCAGGCAGAAGGCGAACGACTGGAAGGACTAGCGATCAGTTTTGGCGTAGCAAATGTTAAGTTTTATCGAAGCTACGTGTATTCTCACCACGAGAATACGTAGACAATAGACGTAGCGAAGTTATGAGTTAATATCTATGTATTATTAATGTATCGTTCATAAATTCAATCGTGCGCGTTGAACCTTTAGCAATTAGCTCCGGTGAGTAATTTTTAGGAATAATTGGTATAAATCGAATTATTTCCAGCTGGTGCTCTAGCGTGTCGCTACTTTGGTTTCCACTTTCCCCCTTTCTGTCGACACTGATATTATTATATTGTACAGTTAATTATTTCTACGAATGTTATTATTATTTTTTTAATTTTTAATATTTGTATTGATATTATATTATAATTATGATAATAGTAATTATTATTTTGTTAAATCTTGTATTTAATAAACGATTGCAGGTAAAACATGCAGGATTTACTTTGCGCCGATGTGTGAATATTTACTAAGAGGTAACGCCAAGTGCGATATCGGGTCGCTTACGAGCGATCGCTTTAACCATCAAACTAATTGTCCAAATACATCGTCGAATATTACGTCAGCTGCGCTGAAAAAAAGATTTGATAACAATTACCAAACATTCAATGAAATAGCCTCAACCGGATGATTTGTTTGCACTAACCGAATCACTTAGTTGCACGATACGTGTAACTAAATCATTTAGTTACACCAATCAAATAATTTAGTATCACGCAATAAAATGATTCAGTTACTGTAATCAAATCATTTAGTTGAAACTATTTCACTAAACGTTTGGTAACTGTTACCGAAATCTTTTTTAGCGTACTTTCCTACGCATTCGTACAAATATCGCTTATTTTGAAAGCGATGTGAGTCCGTCTTCGTCCACCTTTCCCCGCTTCATCCTTCCGCGTCGATTTAATAAACGCAACAGCGAAATTATCCGCACCTTTTTCCTCCCGAAATTGGGCTTGCTTTCGAAACGAACGGCTCGTCTCGCGAATGTCAGATTCGGCCGAGACTGCCGGCGGCGGCGCGTCCGGTAGAAATGCCGCGGCGTTTACGCGACGCGTTTCCTAAACTTTCTGCCGCGGCCGAGAGCGTTCCTTCGTGAATCCCACCGCCTTGTTCAATTGAATAATTGCGCATTAACTGTTACAACGGCGTACCAAGTGATCTGTTATTATGGCCCCTGACCTCGGGCCGTGCACCGAGTTATACCGGCGGCGCGCCGGGCTGATAATCGGCGCACCGCGCGATAATTATTTCGCTCACGGTTATCCTAAATCGATCGCAACGAGGCGCACGGAAGTGCCTCCTCGTGCGCGGAAGCGTACGCGAGGTTTTTAATTATCGGGAATTGCGCGCGCGCGCGCGACCACCGCGATGACGACGACGTTTATCAATCTCCGCGCTTAGACGTCGCGATAATCGCCGTTAATTTCGCAGCACGGAGGAAACGCGCCGCCTCGTTTCGATGCTGAAATTTCAGAGATACTTCCCGTTACCCTTCTTAACTAATGCTAAACCGCGTTAATGATAGCATGGATTCCTCTTACGCGAGCACGGTGAGCGAGCGCGAGACGGTTGATGCAATTTACCGCGTCGATTGACCGCCGATCGAATTAATTTTAAATGCCTTCCCGTAAAGTACGTATAATAATTTTGTTATCGACGACTATTTTGATAGGACGACAACAATTGAAGATTTGAAATATCGAATCTACGCGATCTCAGATTCGCGGTTTCCCTCCCGCTTTAGATCTCAATTTCTCCTCGTTTCAAACGGAACGTCTCTGCTTTGATGCTTTAAACTTTGAACAGTCGGATCAGCACTTCTTGATTCCACTTAACTCAGAGCTTCCACTTAAAGCCGCTGAATTCTACTTAGGTTTAACTTTTCATTTTCTGAAGTCCCTCTTTTGAATCTCCAAGTCAGAAATTGTTCGTTTATCGCTTATTCTAGACACAATGTGAGAAATCAATTCCCATATCAATTAAACTCATCGTTATCCTGTGAAAATCGTAAACGTTGAAAAGTTAAGACTACTAAATAGAGGACAAAATTTCGAGAAGAGTGGGATATCGAGAATTGTTGGCGGCTTCTGATATTTGCGCCGAAGCAAATGATTTTATTATTTTATTATATTATTTAATTATTTTATTATTCTTTAATAAAACATCGAATGTGATATATGTATTTACGGATATAAAAATATTAACCTCGTGTCTCGATGTCTCTAATTTAATTGAGCCCAGTCATCCAGTGGGACGTAGCCTAATTCGACCCTGCGCAAACCGCAAACACAATTATCGCAGGCGCCGCGTGTGGATGTGCGTGGAGCGGCACGAAGATAAATAATAGCACACAGATAGCGTCGGTTCTCCTTCCGGCGGCCGAATTTATAAACAGCAGATACGATTAATGGGACAATTGTCCAATAAAAATTGACCGGATAAGAATAATTCGTCCGCGCGAGCGCGAGCCATCGGTATATTTAATCAACGGTCGGTGGAAAAAGGGGTTCTCTCTTTTTCCTTTCTCGGTTATATCCGATAATACGTGACCTATATTCTTCTTTCGTCACGTAGAGGAGAACATTAAAGTAACCGTATCTAAAGCGGCATAAAAAGACGCGAAACGAGTGGAATGAGCTGTCCCTTTTTGTCTCGCGCGATCGCGTGGCCGATTGACGCGGATTGTAAATTTCGACAGAATCGACGGCGGGACTGTCTTCCGGACGGGCCGGCCACTTTTATCAGGAAATGCACAATTTAACAATTGTGGCCAATTATTTTTCTAGCGGGCTCGTCTTTGATTGGCCATCTGAGGCCGCGCCACGATGTGGGTCTTTACATTGCTCCGTGTGTCAACGTAGCCGCGCGAACGATCATCGAACTCTCGTATTACGTTCGTCGAGGATGCCTCGCGCATGTGAGCCCCGAATCATGTGGTATTAAAGTCGCTTTTTTGCTAATAACATTTTTCTCATTTTATTATTATTATTATTTACGACAGATATTTCGTGCCTGTTAGTGTACGTTAGCAAGCGGATAGACCCAAGTTTTAATGAAAAACATTGTATTGTTAGCTTTATTCGACGTAAAAAAGTATGATTCCAACGAAACGTAGTTCATGCTCGAATAAGAGGCGATAACATTTTTTTTATTTATTACTTTAATAGGTAAAGTTATAGTTCATATATATATATATATATATATATATATATATATATAATTAAATAATAATTTTCCTATATATATGTATAAGAAATTATTGTTTAATTTCATTATGTGGGTGTATTTTGTGGATTATAATATATATAATATAAAAAAATAATTATATATTTCAAATAAAAATATAACATTTTTAAAAATTCTACTCTATATTCATTTATATTATGATGATATAGTTTTATCAACATCTTTAGATGAAATGTTTCTTACAATGATATAAGATCTCTAATGGATCCTCGTAAATGCATGATTTCGCAAATGCTGAATGAGATTAAATGCGGCGTGATCAATCTACGTCTATAAACTTCACTGATGGCATTTCGAATACATTTTTCGCTTGAATCATTTAGGGTCTCGGTGGCGCTCTCCGGACAGATATAAAAATGGATTTACTTTTAAATACGCGAAAGAAGATAATATTTCGTTTCTTTCGCGCGATATTTGACCATTACGATGAATTACAAATGCTGATATTATTTATGCGCGACAAAGATAATTACATTGTATTATATTACACTATATCACAAGAATTATTAATACGTTTCTTTTTTTCAAACTATTACGTCACTTTAAGAGAGATTTTGATCATGATAAGCATACAAATTAACACATATGAAAATACAACAGTGAAGGATATAAACGCAAAGTAGACGAAAGTTATAATTTTCAACGAGCCATTTCCAGAGCACTACCGTTAATCATTGTTTGAAAATCAGCGTTATTAATAAATTATATATTTTTAATGAATGTTGTTTGATAATTATCACTCGATGAAAATTTATCACGTACATGACACGATAATAAAAGCGGAAATAACGAGAGAGGCAACATTATTAATATGAATACATCGTTTATTTCGTTAAATTATCGATCGGCAAATTATAATCATCGCGAAGAATGACGAACTGGATTTAAGAACAACAATTTCACTTCAGTAATTTAATAGCAAACATGAAACAGCACTCTTGCTCCTGGGCGTTCCACAACTTCCACTTGAGATCGTATGTTCGCTGCAATGAAAGAAAAGGATTTTAAATACTTTAAAGTCGCAACTTGCTTTAATTTTGCATAAATTATAAATATATCCATATATTCTTGACACATGATGCAAATCGTTCTGTATATTAAATACCTCTAATTTAATATATTTTTTTAAATATTTATTATCATATAATTTATTTTAATACATATGTTTTACGTCTATATATCTTTTATTTTCTGTGTCTCTTTTTCAATCTCGAGATAATTAACTGCGAGGAAATTAACTTGAAATAATTAACTTGAGAGGAAAAATTATAATCGACGCCCACACGAACGTTATATCTCTCTGCATAAAAATAAAACCAAATAAATTAAAAGAAAAAAAGTGAAAGAAAAGACGAACGCGATGCAATGAGCGTATAATATTAAATAATCACTATTGTAAGTGTAACACTAGATAAAACGAATCGTTGCTGTGATATATGGAGTAAAACTACAATGGAAGTCGAATCACTCACCGCAGGGAACTTCTTCGACATTGGCAATTCTACTGAGTATGTTTGTCTTTGACCAGGCGTGGCTGGACAAACGGTGGACGTACAGGCGTCGAGCGGCATGCCCAGGAACGGCAAATCCATGATTTCGGAAGCCCAATATACTCTACTCGACAACGTATCACCGCTGAAGTCTGGAATTAAACGTATGCATCGTCGATATATGTATCATCGCCACATTGTACATTAGGTCCCAAAATTTCGCGCGATATGGACGCGTTCATACATGGAAAAAACGTTTAGTTGCATTAACCAGAAAGTGAACGACCGTCTGGACGCTTTTGTTGAAAGGAAGAATTTCTGGTTACGAGAACCATATTTAAATCATGAAAACTATAAATTCTGTTTACTTCAACCAAAACGCACGATTATTCATTTTCTGATTAATGCAACTAGACTTTTTTCCATATACGCTCGACGAATTGCATAAGTATTCACTCTCATTCTACAAAGAGAAGGGATACTTTCATCGGAGGAAAAATCTAATTTTGTCTATTTATTTCTCTATTCAAACTGATTCATACTCGATTAAAAATGATGCTTCGAGTCAGACTGAACGTTACTAAAAATGTGATACCCGTGTGAATGGACAATAACCCAAAGAACATTAAGACGTCTTTGAGACAATAAAACGTCTAGACGATATTTTTGAGATGTCTTTTGGGCCAGTATTTATAATCGGATCTTATATTACTGAAGATAAACTTAAGACAGTTTTAAAATAAGATCCGACTATGAATACTGGCCTTAGACATATATGTGTTGTGTGAGGAATTATGTCAAACGCAAAACACGAAAATATCTATTCCGTTTCCGCGACAATTTCTCGTCATTGGAGTGTACAAATCGATGTATTAAAATGCTTCGATGATACTCACTGACGGTGTAGTCGAAACTTATGCTTGCAGTGCGACCTCTCTTTAAGCCGCAGGGCTTTCCATCCAGGGCCTCTCTGCACGGTTCCACGCGCACCTCATGTATGGAGCAACTTGAAACAGCCGGCGCGCCATTTTCAGCTAAAACATGCAGAGCATGCCTTTGTAAAGAATTTATTAGCCTTACCATACAAGAGAAGGCTATCTTCTCATATTTGTATATCAATAAGATTGCCGATGAATAATAAGAAGCACCGAGAAAGAGGAACAATCGATCGTTTTACCTCTCGACTCTTCCACTATTGTCCGATTTATATCCAACGCTTACGAAGATTCAAGTTCTATTAAAATAATAGCAGGGATTCTCTCTGTCTTACTCTCGAGATACTCTCGGCATAGAAAATCAGCACCATTTTTCTAGTTAATGATCGTGAATAATCGGGAGGAGCGTTCGATTAAAATGAAGAGAATTTTTAATTAGTATCTTTGCAATATTTCACGAGTGAGATAAAATTATATAATGCTGTGTAGAAAGGATTCCCCTATTTGTGCTACTGTTCATGAGTTAAATTACAAATGTGCTCATTGATTCGTCGACATATTAATGTGCTAATATATTAATGAGTCATTACATATTAATGCACATATTAATGCACTCTTAATCTCTTTCGTTCGTTCTCAACAGCTCCGTGTTGATTTATTCTCTCGAGTTACTTAAGCGATGAGTCGCGCTCTCGCTAATTATCGCAATACTTTTTCGCAATTCGAATAACGTCGCATGTGCGAATCTTTGCGTTATAATGAAAACCACTGAGATCCACTTCCTGCCGGAGTATTTTGCAAGAAGAGTAATGAGATAAGCATAAACCCTAGTCGAAAAAAAAATGCGAATAGTGACGCGACACATGTCATCGACAGCACTACTGCGTGGAAATTGACGTAAAACTGTAATTGGTAGTTATGAACGGTCTGATAAAGTTTCCTTCGGCTCGAATGAAATGCGAGTTTCATGAGACATTGTGATATTTTCTCTCTTTCTCGTTTGACCGCGAGATCACGAGCGTATTCGAATTGTTTTCCATGGTTAACTCGGTGATAAAGAACAAGGAAAAAATCTCGGTGAATAATAAGAACAGTAAGAAGAAAGATAAGAATAATAACACTAGTAATAATAATGATAACAATGAAAACAACTGCGCGCTGAATTGATGAAGCTGCGTCTCATCTCGATAAGAAATTACCGAAATCTCGTGTCTTCTCTCATGCAGTGAGATTTTTTCGCGGGATGTTAAAGTTGTCGTTTGTGCCTTTTTCCACGAGCGTTAAACTCTCACACGCCTCTCACCACTTCGTATTTCTCGCTTATAATAACTCACGCTCATATCGAACGCTTATCGAGGAACTTCGATGTCTATTATTGCTGTGACGGGCTGTGAACTTCTTGTTTACGGAGCGACGGTGATTTTTTTTTAACTTCTCGGGCTACCTTATCATTTTATGCGCTTCCCCGTTCTGCTTTCTGTAATATACTCCAATCAGAGCTCATTCTGCAACCATATCTCTCGATGTGCATATTCCACTGTTGATTCAATAAAAACCGAACGTATATTTGTAGGAGAAAATTGTCTTTAATTGTCCACGTATCTCAACCGGATTCTGCGCGCACATTGTTCGACGCTATTACAACTATTTTGGACTGAAAGCTCAAAACAGACTTCTTATTCTTGAATAAAATGCTAGGAACTAGAATTTTCTATACGTTCAAAATGTCCGTTCCCGTTGCTTACGTTCCGCATAAAGATATAAAAACTAGGAAAGATTAGATAACATCCCATAACTTAACTTTTCTTCGAGAAACAACTGCCTAAACTGTGACCCTAAAACTTGGCCCACTGCGAGAATCATAGCCTATGTTCCGACACATGTGAAACACGTGGCTAGCAAGTGAAAGAGAAAGACTGAGATTGAGGCGGTGCTATTCTAGTCTAGTAGTCCCTCCTTTGTTTGTTTAGGAAGAGACACCATTGCTTCAATCTTCGTCTTTCTTCCTCGCTTGCTACCTACAATGTTTATAATTCGTTTATGGTTTAGAATAGTTAGAACAATCATGTGTGTGTATGTGTGTAATTTAGGACTGCGTCCGCGATATTGTCTAATAAATTAACGAAAAGAATCCTCTAAATACAAAGCTCAATGAGCAAGTTATTAATCTTATTAGCTCAACCTTTCTCCATCGTCTGTGGAGGAAACGTGTTCTTCAAAGTTCCTGACTACTGCAACCGTCTTTGATGACGTCGGAAGCGAGAAAAGGCATGTCGAGATTTCTTGCGTTATATGTTATAATAAAAAGATATGCCCGCAAAATGACATCTGTGATCGATTCAGCACGCTTGTAAAATTGGAACACTTTTATTTTACTCAAACAATCCAAATTAACTTGACATGGAATTTTCCTTTCCAACTTCTTTTCTCATGATTTTGTCAATGTTAATTTTACGACTATTTATTGATTAATCGAATAAAAGTGTTCGTCTATTATAGATTTACAAATGTGCTAAATCGATCATATATATATATATATATCATTTTGTGAGTATATCTTTTTATTTGAACTGCATAATGCAAAAATTTTTGGCATGCATTTTCTTGCTTCTAAAGATTCATCAAGCAAAGACGGTTGCAGCGAGTAGTCAGGAGCCTTAAAATCTGAAACCTAATTGCTGGGGATTTCGTCAGATCGATTTCACGCAAAACTGAGGAAACGTTCGAATATCCAAAACCAATTATTGCGAAACAATCTTTTCATATATTTAATGCCTTTTACGTGTTTTTTTTTTTTATATTTTAAACAAACCAACGCGATAACTTTTTACGGAAAATTTGTCAATTGCCGAAATGAAATTTTTTTCTTATTTTTATTAAAAACTCGAGGAATCGAAAAATCAAAGGATCGCCGTAGAAGTTAATAAACAGTATACTTCACGATGGCGTTGCATCTCCGCCTTACAGATAACCTTACCAGCGCGACGCGCGCGATACAGCCGTATCGAGGTTGCAAATAAAAACTATTGAAATAAAAAAGCCCACCGGGAGCGACTGCCCAGCTCCAGATATACCCGAACTTATTTACGCGCGCGCGATCGATACGTCGTAATCGCACAGAACAGAAATGCTGTCATAAACCGTGAGCCATGACCCGTGAAGATCAGAGTTCGAAATTGCGCAATTCACAGCGCCTCAACGGACCCGTTTTCCCCGATTTTCATCGATCACGCGAGTTCGCTAATGGCAAAGAGCCGTCGACGGCGATATCACGAGCGAGAAACATGCTGTCACTTCTAACGCTATTTCGTGGCCTGACGCGAGATCCCTCTCAAGCTCTCCGTTAATTAGCGACACCGCGGGCTCGTGTTGCGATTGCGATACAGAGAATACTCACAATTGGTCTGAGGACACTGATGCCATACCACAACTTCCGCATGAGTCGCGGAAAAGGCCAGGACCAGAACGGTCGCGATGAAGAACGAGTTTCGGTACATCCTCGATGGACGATGGTTCGTAGCCAAGTGAAAGAAAACCGGCGTGAGGGTCAATTGACACATAAGTAGACAACCGAGAGGAGGATCGAGGGAGGGTGGGGCCACAGGTCAATTGATAGCGTCGAACTTATATATACTTCAGCCGTATCTCTCCTCCTGCGAGAAATCACGATGTGGAATTCCGTTTTGGTATCGGCGAACGCACGATTTCCTACAATAATCCTATCTTTATTGCCGTTCTTCTAACAAATAATATTAATTTTGACCATTTGTTATATGCGATATCATTTACTAAAGATACCAGGGGCTATATTCCGTATATGTATATCGATAATTGTCAGTATCGGTATTTATCATTGCGTAACTATTTTATAATACGATTATGCCTGCGCAATAACACAGAATTCATTCAATTCGACGGATCTTATAAGTACTTTGGGAGAAATTAAAGGAGGAAAACCACCATTGACTATTCAAGGAATACGAAGAAGTTCACTTATGATATTTACAAGATCGAATTTCGATAGGGAAAATTATAATGCTTATCTTGACGGAGAAAATTTAGTACAGATATTTTGATTTTTATAAGGCTAAATTTAATTCAGACGAATCGAAGTGTAAAGATTGGTTAAGGGCGAGAGAATAGTAAATTAAGAAAAAAGAAGAGTAAAGCGGTAAAATTAATAATTACACTATATTTGCTAAGTTTACAGTAATTGATTTTTTTTTATTTTATTACTACTAAGTTCATAAATTATATAAAGAGGTAAGGAAAAAACATTTATACAAAAAAAAAGAGAACGCTGCGGACAGGATTCGAACCTGTGCGGGCAAAGCCCATTGGATTTCGAGTCCAACTCCTTAACCACTCGGACACCGCAGCTCGTGATAGCATGATGAAGTATTATGGTATATAAGACATCTGTGTAATATCAGCAACAATGATATTGAAATATACAAAATAAAAAGTTATTGCGATAATATCGTATATAAAAATAAATTTGTTTAACGACAAATGAAAATATAATAACGATCGATGTATAAAATTGTGATAAAGATATATGCGTCTAGCTATGAAATTCATAAAGATTAATAAAATATTTTATTTTCGCAATGATAGTTATTTTTATAAATGTAAAGTTCCAATGATAATATTTAGTAATCTAACTATTATTTTATGTTAAAATTATAATTATATGAGAAGTTTAGTATATCACATTAATGCGTCAATCGCATACGCGTAATGACGTTACGTCAATTTTTTCTTTATCTTCTCTGTAGTAAATATGTTAGTCGTCTATGTGATAACAGCTTCAAGAATTCAATAAAATATACTGAGAATCCTCTACGAGAGCGACATCTACCAACGAACTACTAACGAACAAGACGTCTCTCCTCGTTGAACTGCATCGGTAAGATAATAAGAGTAGTAAATGAGTCAAGACTTTTTGTAAAATTCTAAAATGTTATTTTCTTGATTTATTATTATTATCCAAAAATATTATATTAAATTGAAACAATTAATTCTGCCTAATAGTACAATAATTTAAATTTCTTTATAAATGCTTTTATGTAAATTCTTATATAAATATATAGTAGATTCTTTTATAAGTGCTTTTATGCAAATAATATTTTGAGTTAATTTTTTTCATGAACACTACAATTTTAAATAATATTCTAGTTCCTTTTATTAATTTCATTTTAAATGAAAATATATTTTTCCAATTGCGTGTTTAAAATGATAAACTTACAATCGTAAACGCATTTATTTCTATTTCTTACCTATTATAGAAAGGACCCCCACGGATCGTCTAGTGATTCGACGCGTATTCCCTAGGATTGATACATTGGCGAATAATGCCGGCTATAAAACCGTTTATGCGACAAGAATGCGGGATCTATCAGTTGGGCAAGTCGGCGAACAATGTGGTTCACGGAGAACATTGCGAAGATCAGCGCGATCGAACGAATTCCGCCTCGCCCGTGCGGCACGATTAATGATCAATGGCAAACGCGAGTGCGATTTATCGATCCGCCACGCCATCCACCTGCGGGCCTCTATTGTATCGCGCCGGGTGCGCTTTATTACGCGGGCGGTGTCGCGCCTACGTTCGTGCGTCGAACGACCGTAGAGGGGAAAAAAAAGGAGACATTCGTCGCGCAATAATTGTCACCCGTGACGCAAAATCACCGAGTTCGCGAGCTCGTTTCGTATAACTTATCGTGACAACATTGCGGAGGAGTTTAGTTAATCTTTCCATTCGATTTTGAATCCGATGTATAATTCTATCTCTTTTCGTCATAATATTCTAATAATTTTTATTTTTGTATGTAAATATACACGTGTGCTGTCATTTTCTTTCTTTCTTAATCGATTAATCTTTATCAGTTATCAGCTTCGCTTCAATTACTTTATCTCTTTCTTCGATCCGTCCAAATTAAATACGTTATTATCTCAGAAAATAAAATCGCAATTTTCTTTTTCTCCATGAAAAAGAACTCAAGAAATCTTTCTACTGTCTGTATAACAATCGATCAAATTTGCTGCGACAGTCTAAAATATCCTACGCATGCAAATTACTTTTTCTCATGCTATGCTACGTGTATCCAGAGGCGTGGAGGAAAACCAACTCCAGCAAACAAAACAGCAGTGATCATCCTCGCGCACGCGGATTATGTCATGTTATACGCTGTAATCACCGCAGGAAATAGAAGCCGTCCGTGGAAATAATAGCATGTAGGTGGTTACGGAGGATCCACCGTTCGAGAGATTCGTAAATATGCGATAATTCGAAAAAGCGCTTTTGGAAATCGGCCGAATGATTTGAATGAGAAAAGGAGAGAGGATTGTGCAAAAACGGCTCGGTCACGCGCGACGCTTCTCCAGAGGGGCACTTTTACTTCGCACGAGGTGGAAAGCTGCTAAAGGAAGTGACGGTGTGGTGTTAGGTGCTCGAATGTAACCTACATTCGATATGATTGGCTGATCTCGTTCATTATAATGACTAGATCTCCCCTTCGATTCGAATTTTTTATTCGTGTCCTTTGCAGATAGATCTTTTCGCGTATGACTTGACGTAAGATGAGGAAAGATAAGACATTACCTTCTGCCTTAATATTGCATTATTTGGGATAAATTCGCAAATAAACAATCAATTCAAAAATACCATCGCATGTAAATAACTCTTTTCGTTGAGAATAAAGTTTGCAACTCTCGTCATGCAATTTCTCGCAGAGATTACTCACTCGATATTTCTTGCATCATTGCAACGTGATGAAGTTCACAAATTTGCAAATTTAAAATACAAACCCGTAAATAAACAATCAATTAAAAAATATCATCACATGTGACTAGCTCTTTTCTCTTTGAGAATAAATTTGGCAACTCTCGTTATGCAATTTCTCTCGCAAAGATATAAATTACTTATTCGATATTTCTTACATCATTGCAACGTGGTGAAAGTTCACATTTGCAAATTTGAGATACAGGTCTCTCTCAAAGTATAATTAATAATTCATCGATATTCGTAACTTGTAATTCGTACAAGATTTTCGGGCCGATCGCGATGTAATCTTTGATTGGTTGTGCATTTGCAATATTTTTAATTGCAAGATCTCGAAGTAATGTGGCGTGTCGCGAAAGATGTGAAGAGCAAAATTTATCGCACGATTATCGTGCGAATAAATATAAACCGCGTGTGTCACATAGAAATGCGGATGCAGAAACCACGATCATCGGAAACCACGGTCGTCGATATTTATGAGAACCGGCGCAACGTCAGTGAATTATCCAGGAACATTTGTTCGACATATGTTTCTTCCGGATTCAGGGGAAACCGGTTCTCTTCCATAAACCTCTACAACTTAATTCAGGGACGATCCAAGAGATTCCAATTGTAACTTTTCATTGCATACACGATAGCATAGATGCTCTTCCCAACATTACCCTTATTTATATTTGACACGCGCCTTATTTAAACGATCAACTTCATATTCGCACGAATCTACCAATTTGTTTACAACTGTGTGAACTATACTCATGATCAAATCGTGTGTGAATCTTCATTCCGTATATTAAAAATTAAAGTTCAGAAAATGTTTTCAAAAGTAACACTCATCGACGACATTCGTGGATTTATCACCGGTAGATTTTCCACGTTGTCGATTTACCAGGTATCGTTAATTTTATCCGAGACTTTAAGATATATTTCTTGGCGAACACTGCAGTTTCATCTGAATAGTAGCCACCTGGAACGTGTCCATATCAATTAATTCGATTTCTCCTAACTGTACACATTTATCCCGGCAGAAACGAGCCTTCGGACGTACATTTCACCACCTCCCCGGGATACAGAAGCTCAACTTGTACGAACGACACCATTCTCGATCTTATCGAATCGATCGCGAGTGGCGACCAAGCGAGCGGTGCTACGAACGAAGCGATACCACGACAAGCTACGGTCCTGACGTCGCGGCGCGACGTCACACCTGTTGCCCTCGGCAGGATACCAGCGTGGTACGCCACTGGCCGTAAACCGCTGGCACGGCTCACCTGTTGGCCTCAGCAGTGTTACCTGGGTTCTCGACCGCGCGGCACCTTTCGCCCAGCGTTGCCGCCGACGAGTTTCCGTTCTCCGCGCTATATCCCTCATCCGGCGAGCTCTCGCGCGCGAGTGAGCAAGCGAGCGAGCGAGCAAACGTGCGCGTTGCAAGGGAAGAAGTCGTCGGTGTCTTCCTCACTCTCTCTTTCTCTCTCTCTCTCTCTCTCTCTTCCGAGGCACTCGGATCACCTCCACCGGTGGCATTTCTTGGGGATTTTCGTGACTTCCGGCGCACCGGGAAACCGGACGGAAGAAGAAGAAGAAGAAGAAAAAGAACCCCCGGAGCGAGGCCCTCGCCCTCAGCCTCCCAAGTCGAGCTGAGGAACGCGCGACGCGCCTGACGAATAGGAGGAAAGGAAGGTGGGGAAGCTAACCGGTCGGCCGCTTTCCGCGGATTCCTGAACCGCCGTCGGCCCCCGTCGTCGGGATTGTATGCAAATACCTCGCGGAAACATCCTCGCGCGGGCTGCTGCCGGG